ACACATTACTGTAACAATACTGTGTTGCTGTCATTTTGCAACAAAAATGTCATCCTCATATAAAAAAGAAAAATGAAAATGGCACTGAGAAATTATATTCTATCTCCACCAACAACAAACAGGGCAGTGGCAGTAGCAGCAAGTATATCAGTAGTGGCAACAAGAATGCACTACTGTTTGCCAAAACAGTGGCAGGTCAGTTCACTATTGCCAAGCAGATGACATTGTAATTTGGATTGCTTGTTCACTTTTGCCAAAACAACAGGATGAAGAATGTAAGTCAGTGTGTAACTCAACCTTTTTCATGTCTTACAAACACTTTTAGATTATGTTTGCTATTGTATTAATCTTGACTGGTCCAGTGCTTCTGTTGTACTAAAAAGTAACAATGGAAGCCAAATAATCTATGAGGATGATGATAATGATGATGATGTTGTGGTGAACATGACTATTGTAGCACAGGAAAGGTTGGGGGGTATTAAAAACATGGAATAAAGGGGCCATCTATTATGTCATTATGTCAGCCCTCCCCCCCCCCCCACCCTAATTGCAGGTAATTATCTGTGGAACATCTGCCACAACTTTGCTCTCAGTAATGGTCTGTCAATTGGCTTGTGGTGTAGTCACTGCTATACCAGTAAATCCCATACGCTGAACTGATAGATTATACTAAACTGCTGCTATTTTTTAAACAAGATGGCTTATGACCTATACACATCAATCACCAGTAAATGTGGTTTTCTCTCTAAAATTCCAACTGTGTATAATCTTATACTGAAATCTGGAGCACCAGCTATAGCCTTGGACAGTATTTGCACTTCTCAGCCAATTGGGTCAATTGGTAAATAGCACTGGTGATGCTCTACATCCACAATGGAAAAAAGTGGAAGTGGTAAAGATTATGCTTAGCTGTGCTACCTCATTGCTAGAACAATCTGTTCAAATAATGAAAAGTGTATTTCTAGTCATTCTCAGCCATCATGTTAAAGGTGCCCACACACCTTGCGATAATCGTACGCTAATCGCGGGAAATCCCACGATCGTGCGATTATCGCAAGGTGTGTGGAAGGCGTGCAACCTCTGCTACTGTAAGGTCGCATGACTTTTATCTTAGGAACATGTTCAAAAACCCACCAAGAATCGTACGATTGTCGGCGGGTGTGTGGCATGTTCGTAAGATAAATGCCGCAAGCGCACACTGCCCGTTCAGCATTGCGGTCATCGGAAACCCGGGGCGGGCTTGTGATGATCGCAAGTACGATCTGCCTGTCCAAGAAGGCCAGATCGTATGTTTTTTTAATTACCTTACAACCATCGCAAGACAAAAGTCTTGCGATGGTTGTAAGGTGTGTGCCCAGCATTAGTAATGAGTAAATCTGCTTAGGGTGGATTCACAAATGGTTCACTGAATCCTTTTAAAATCTGCAAACCCCAAACATAGCAGTGAATTCCATTAAAGACTGTGAGGGGTGAATAGCAATATTAAATTATGTCCATTTTCAAGGCTCATGAACAGCTCCAGCAACACCATATACTTTTATTACATATTTTGGATGTGACATTGGCTTTTTAACTTTTACATTTGGTTTGGCTTAAATACAGCAGCATCACCCCTATCTAATTGATTTCAATTGAAATAAATGGCTTTGTATGTAGTTTTTGCTGCGATACAAAAAAATACGAAAAAGTCCCCAAATTACCCCCTTGACCAGCATCTTAATGTTAGCTTGTCAAATATTTTAACTTTGCAGCCCATGAAAAACCCCTTTATGTAAGTCCATGACCTGTGCTATCTATTGGGTGCTTCCAGATTGTGGACTTGGCCCCTAGTTGAATGAGTAAGGCCTGCATAGTACCCTGGTTACTCATTCCCTCCCAAAAATGAAAAAAAAAAGTAAATAATCACATTGTAGGAAAGAGTCTTTTATCAAAATAAATAAACATTGTCCCTGGAGTAAATCCAACCACAATCACATTATCTATCAATAATGATGATGAACGATGACCCACCATCACAAACACAACAACCCGTGCCAATGATCCTCTCCTGATGGACTCCAGTCACAACTGACATGTCCATGGCACTGCTGGAGCACAAACAGATGTGTTGAGAAAACTGGTTGACATATTTGACCATATATGGTCAATAAGGTCACGTGGGATCACCTCCAGATTCTTCACAATGTGAAACTAGCTAATTGGCAGGAAGTCATTCTTTTAGTAGTGGTTTTAATACCACCACTAAATGAATAACTTCTAGGTGAAGCAGCCAGAGGTTCCAGTGTGCAAACTGATTACATCTGACCATTTAATTCACATGTTCAGTGAACTTCGAACAACTTGAATTTGGGTCAAACTCATGGTCGACCCAAACCTAGTTATTAAAATGATTTTTGGGTGCATATGGACAGGGAAAATTAGAACATTACACTAGAAGGTGCACCTTAACACTGCAATTCAAAAAACTAAAGTATAGTTTGTAAAAGTAGATGTAAACCCAACCAATAAAATCTCCTAAAAGCTTTAACATGATAATTTCACTTGGAAAGCCTACTTTGATTTTAGTTGCTAGCTTTCATGAAAATATCAGCTGGTGATAATGGTATAAAGGTCATCAAGTGGGCACTTATGGGGTGGCAATGCTCTACCCATCTCCCACAATCTTCTACTTGAAAATCACCCTCTCAATCTGTGAAAAGAAGTGTATAGTTTCCTTTGAGAAAGGTCTGTAAAAAAACAATTGCAGCCAGCAACAATCAGGAAATATGCCCTTGGAATAAACACATGCAGCCTGGTATCACTGTAGTACAGATGAACAGGAACAGGCTGTAAAGAGGCTGCAGAAAATCAGCAGCATGATCAGCAGCATTAGGATACAACAAAAGATGAACAAAAGTAAAAGCTCTTTCCCCTGAAAAAAATGTCTTCAAGATACACAGCATGCTTCTACCTACAGGAAATTCAGTAAGGATTTACATCCACTTAAGAGACCTGCCAGTGCCCACAAACCCTACAATAATCTCTCCCTATGCACTTTATCAGCAGCACCTATGCTAAAGAACATTGTCAATATGGCTGCTGGGAACCCACCCTTTTAGGGAGGGTGCTGGCATATCCAAAAGCCCTCTTATTGGTCCTTCTGAACCAGCTGATCTAATTTCAAAGGCCAGGCAGTGCATTATGCCTATGCTTGTCTGAATTCTTCCTTGAGATTTCCAGGTCCACAAACCGCAAACATGCAGGGTTCACTTTGAACCCATGGTAGCGCGAACCTGAACCTTATCTTTAATTCTGTTTGACCCTTGAATCAAAGTTCAGCACCCTTAGCTATAACTTGAAATGCTGGTTGTTTATGGATCTGAGTTCCCCATTACTGATTATGTGGTGGTGGTGTTATGTTACTGCAGGGCATCATCACCGCTGATGCAGTGCTTTAGTGGTAATAACACTTCTACCAAAACTTTCTTTTAATGAAGGATATATTTCATGGCACACTAAATGCTCAATGGTTCAGAATCTCTAAATGTTTGTCTCTGGATGTCAATGCATCCTTTAATAAACACTCTTTTTATTATTTATCTGTTCTATTTTATTATCATGTGTCCTGCCTGCTCCACTGGTCCATTTCTAAAGATGCTGTGATGTTACAGCAACACTATTCTATTTTATTATCAGTAGTCTTGCTTACTCTGTGGGTCAAAGTGTATCAATGGTAAAGTTATGGAGCTAATGCAAACCTGTAAAAATCTGTTTTTATTAATTGTCTATTTTATTTTTTGCCACCCTATCTGCTAGAAGGGGCACGTCTATAAGGTTGATTTTGTGGTATTATGCACTCCTAATATATGTGCGTGTGTGCGCGTGTGTGATCTATTTGTTTATTTATTTTCATCACAGAATCCCTGCTTGGAACTTTACGCTTATGGTGCTTTCCTAAGATGCTGCAACACCCCTGAAAAATGCCATAAAAAATCATTGTATTCTCTTTTATTGTTGGCCACCTTGCCGTTTCCATGGATCAGAACACTGTATCCTTTGAAAGATATCTAAAAAATATATTTTTAGAATATTTCCAGTTATTTGCTGATGACTGCATGGATGTTTCTTACATCATCAAGTTTCCTGGCTTTGAGTCATCTCATTGTATATTATTTTCTTGTTGGCATCTCTGCCCAGGTCCAGGTTGGTCCATTATTAATTTCAATGTATCTACAACATACAGTAAGCCATGCTAAAAAGAAAAAACAAACTTTTGTTCCCGTGTCTGATAAAAGATGCTGTTGGTGCTGATGCTGCTAAAATAAAAAAACAATTGTGATCTACCCGAGTACCCTGGGAAACTGTTCCTCTCTGGTATATTGTAAAATGTGCACATTTCTGGATGTATGCCCAGGACAAACAGTTGATGTGTGTGAGAATTTTATAAGCAACATTTTTATTATTATTTCCATTATGAAATTAACCCTATATATGAATATGCTTGGAAAATGTGTGCCTTATGGCTGATTCCCATTCCACGAAGTAGATCAGGTGGGCACAGATTGATGAAGCAAATTTTAAATGTATTTATGTCATAGTCATACCCTGTAAGTGTGAGAACAATAAGAGCTGTCATGTAGTTAAATAATGTAATTCTTTAATAATTATATGTTGTATATTTTACATCACATTCTTGTAAATGGCACAGTCCTAAACACAGAAAGATGAATAAGATGAACAACTCATGTATAACTATAGAATAGTCATAGAACAATATACCAGATTACAAATCATTTTATGACTCACTTAGTCTATTGCCAACTCTGAAACCAAAGAATACATAATACAAGTTAGTATAGTAATATCTTATTCATATTGACGTATGAAATGTGTCTTGCACTGCTCACAATACCACATTCCTGTCTTTTCTAGCTTATCGCCTATTCTACAATGCCTCGTTTTTGCAATTTAGATATTCAGTATAGCATGCTTGGGGGAAAGGAGGGGGCTGCACACTGACACTGAGTGGCTGCTTTTTTCAGCGAGCTCCTGCTGTTGGACTCCTAGACACAGAGACAGCTCAGCCAGTAAGCGAGTGCTGTTGTTGGACTCTGAGCCAGTCAGCTAGTATAGCAGTTGGACTACTTAACACCGAAAGAGCTCAGCCAGTCTACTGCTGGACACCTGCACACAGGCAGTCTGTCATATATCGCTGCTGGTGTTGCCGCGTTGTCAAACACTTGCCGTAGCTTGGGGAGGGTGCATGAAGCAGCCACTAATACATCAGGAGAGACGGAGCAAAGCAAGGCACTTAGAGGGAGCACACTATTCACTATGGCATCCAACTTCAATGATATTGTAAAGCAAGGTTATGTAAAAATCAGAAGCAAAAAGCTCGGGGTAAGTCTCTGTTTACCTTGATCATTCCTTCCAGAGCTCTGTGACAGACAGCTACTGTACTATCTTTAGATACTCTGGTGTATACTGTATATTCCACAGGGAGAGATGAGAATGAGTAAATGATTTGTGTACAGCAGGATTGTGATTATCTGCATTTGTAGAGCAAGTGTGCTGGTATTGATGGGGGCAGAGAAGCAAGGCTAAATTCAGCTCATGTTGTGACTGTGTCACTGGCTTTTACCTCCTTCACCTGTGATCACGGTAACATTGCTCGTAAGTCTTATGTTTTGTCTTAATGTCAAATACAACAGACTGATTATCTGTTTTGGATTCAGGGGGATAACCTTGGCAGACACTTCAGAGCAATTCAATGTGTTGCTGTGGACAGCAACCCCTGAGTGGATTAAGTATAGTCTAAAGAATGGATCCACATGGGAATTGTACTGTGGATAACAGGCTATTATTTCTTAAGTTGCATTGCATTGTGAGGATTAATGTACTTTTTCACGGACAGATACAGTGGATTAGCAGGGTACAAAAAGTATAGGAGCTGTGGGATAATTATTACCAAACTGTCGCTTATTATTGCTCTTGGGTTCACGTGTTTGACATTTGTCTGAGACTTTTAGGCTCACAATACATGTTAAAATCTGACCATTAAACCTTTGTAAAATCAATTTACCAAAGCTATGTAATATGAGGACCAAGCTTATCTAATTAATCGATCAATCAATCAATCAATCTATATCCAGACAGACAAGCCCTTGCACTCTACTGTTGTTGGTAGATCTAAAGGAGATTGTACAGTCAGATTGCAATGCGTCTGTGTGTGTGGTGCTCTTTAGAAAAGCTTGTTGGGCGATATTTAAAACACATAAGGGAGCTAATTATTGGCACTAATAATGTTAGTAAGTACAAGTGCTGCAACTCATTCCCTGATGGGTATTTCTAATCTCTTCTTTTACAAGGAAGAAAAATGACAGTAGTTGGAAGGATTTGATTCAGCAAAAAGCTTTTACTTGTTGTTTAGCCGGGGATTGCAATGAACAAGCTTTGACTCTGCATAATGTTTAGCCGGTCTATTTGATTACATTCATCTACTTTAAACGAGCCCATAAACAATGGATGAAGGATGAACATGTTTTGTGGAATTGAAAAGGTAGACACTAATGCGGTGATGGTTATCTTATCTTGGGCACATGGCTGAATGATTAAACATCTGACTTGGACTGTGTGATGCCAACAGACAGGCAGCAGCAGTCTGGATGCAGAGTCTAGCACCTGTGTTATCTAGAGAACTCCTGTCAAATAATGATCCGCTTTCCCAAACTGTGTCAGATAAGCCAGAGTCATTCAGAAAATGAAAATTCTTCAAGTAGCTAAGAATTTAGCTGCCTCTCTTATCACCAAAATAAATGATTATAGTGGTGACATAGGAACAAGGCATATGGCTTAAATATTTCTGGATGTTTTCTTTATGTTTTTAGTAAACAATATACTATTATATTTATGCTATGTATCTCTTTCTGTGTGTGTTAATGAGCCACCTTAAAGGATTAGTCCACCCACTGCTGGTATTTTAGTCCACCCACAAATGGTAACAGGTAGATGGTTGAAAGCTGAATCACCTACCTCTACTGGAGATTCTACAGGTGACTGCCCCCTCTAAAGTATCTTACCACCTCACCCTCCAAGAGTCTAACCCTTCCTGCTATAGCATGAACAGCAACCCCAATCCTGTTAAATTTGATGTAAAATGAATAAAAAATAAATGTTATATGGAGATGGAGGACCCATTGTAATGGCCATGGCATGTTGGTAGACCAGAAAACACAGGTGGTGGCCAATCAGTCCACTTGCATCTAATGGAAAAATCAGTTTTGGATGGACTCCTTAAAACTCTTATATGTTATACTGTAAGAATGAAGGTTTCCTCATTTGCAACATGTGATCATACAGAGGGGGAGGGGCATTAAAATACATGATAAAACTGTATAGGTATTTGTGATTGTAGGTGCTATGCCAACATTTTAGTAAGGAGTTTCATGAAGTTTAGAATTTAGTTTTATCTATCCAAGACCTTGGCAGCCCTTCATTTGTCTCAGCAGATTGCCTACAGAGTTTCACTTTATTTCATCCAGCCAATTACCTCGTTCAGGGACTAGATAGATAGATAGATAGATAGATAGATAGATAGATAGGCAAGTGAATGGATGTATATGCATACTTTTATATTTAAGCCAGTTTGTTTTAATTGGCTGTACAGTTATATTGATATTTTGCTATTCATCCCATAACATAATGGTATATTTGGTAGAAATGCTTATCTTTTCCCATGTTGTTCCCATTGCAGTGCAGAGATAAACAAATGATATTAAGGCTAATTTGGTCTGCCTTATTTGATTTGTGTATACTAAAAAGTCAGGTACCAATTTCATACATTACCCAAGTTAAACAGCAATACTTTTATAGAACACACTTCAATGTACTCTAAAGGAAAACCAGGGACAAGGACAACTTTAGTTCATTAATTGCTGCAGATAACTCTATGGTATTTTTTTTCAATATGGAGTGGTTAACATTGTGCATAATATGATAAAAATGCTACATCTGTTGCTTATTACACGTTTTGCATAATCCACTAAGTTAAACTTATAGCAATAAACTAGTAAATGTATAGTGTGTTTTAAATGTTGACATTTCAAAGATAAAATTAGCAATATATTAACTGACGTTGTGCGATATTGTTGTGCATACTTTGCTCGTGTTCTTATTTTGCTTTTCGTTTATGATGGAGAGGTTTTTCACCTGTTGTTTTTCCTTCTCCTTAATGGACAGTAAAATGCATACTCTTGTCATTATGTGCAGAAAGCATACCCATCTAAGTATTTTAGCATGTAAACATACATTAGATCCAGAGATAAAAGTTTATAGAGAGTGCCATATAGTTTACCTTCTGGCTCTTCTCGGTGAAAGACTTGGTATGAGGAAGGAATTCATTCCCTTATCTCTTTGAGCAATACTGTTATTTTTTAAAGAAAAATAATAATAAAAAAATATCCAAGGGGCATTTATGAGATTTAAGAGTGAAGAAAATGTGGTTTTGCCTATAAAAGCTTGTCTTTAGCTATTTCATGCAAGAAACAGCAGTAGTAAAGAAGGTAGTAATGATACAATTCAACAGTACTATATGATAGCATTGCAACACCAGATTACACCAACAAGTGGCAGCATAGGTAAAATCTTCTGCTGTGATGAACCCTCTGGGGAAAAAAAAAAACCAGGGAAAAACAAAAAAAAAAACAGTCTTCCTGAAAGACCAAACCTATAAACAGTGAATCATTTTTTACATTTTTTAAAATAAAAGGTTAATAAATAATAAAAGCGATGATATTTTTTTGCTTGGAAATCAGTTTGCCAGCTAGGCATTTGGAGGACAGCCTTAATCCATTGGAAGGTACCCAGTGGCCCATGGACGAACAACTAAGAACTACTTACTTTTTTAGCTAGAAGATAAGAAATGTTTTCTGTTGAAGTGCATTGCTTCATAGAAGTTTATAGGATATTATATTTGTAAATGTTCCTCAATAATAGTGGCCTTACATAGGCTGAGATACTTACATTATGAAATTTGTATGCAGTTACATATGGGTATATGAAACAATATACCAATGCATGAAGTGCAAATAACCACTACATTTAACATTAATATGGATAGCCTGTAATTCCCTTATTACTCCTTCAAAGGCACTAATGAGCGGCCAGAGGTATGTTAATTTGTTTTCAAACCATCAGCTCCTTACACATATACTACTACTTAAAGGGAATCTGTCCTAAGAGATGTCACCATATCTTCTGCTTCCCAGATCCCCTATGCATCCCATTCCACAGTTTATATCTAATAGGAATGTAAAAAAGACAGAAAGGCGTGGGCAAGATTTTACACTACAAAGAAGTGTTGGATGCTGAAAGAAGGCTCTGATATTAAATCAGGTTCCATTTAATTCCACATTAAATTAATTCAGTTAAAAGAAGATATTTAAAATCATTTGAAATAGTTAATATCCTAAACTAAATTGGGAATAAGGTGCCTAGAATATATTCTTGCAGCATTTTAGCAGATAATCCTGTCATCAAGAGTTTTGGTATCAGAAGCAGGAACATGGCCCATTTAAAGATGAGATGTGGGCAAGTTCCTGAAGCTTACAGTGATCATATCTGCTAAAAATCCCAACAGCAGGCTTTACACTTTCATTGCTATTTGAAACAAAGCTAATCAATGTCATGAAGCATATTACCAAGCTAACTAATCATAATTTTCAGCACAAACATCCCATAATATCAGAACCAGGAGTCTAAGCCACAATGGTCGGTTATATATAAGAATATGGGGGTACATTGGTAGAATCAGGGCTTTCAGCATTAAAAAGAAGTGTAAAAGATACCCTGACATATAAAATTAACCTTACCTTTGAGCTGACGCTAGCACTATGTAAAGCTCTACCCCCTTCCTATGGAGCTCAAGAAGGAACCTCAGGGCTTTCCCCAATGTGGTGAAGGAGTGGTTCAGATTGGGGATGCTGCTTTAACCCTCTTAGGTGTAGTGAGGGGGCGCAGTTCCCACAAGCATCATTTACCACGGGAAACAATGGGAGGAGTTACCAGTGTATTACCGCATATACTGGTGATTAAATACAGTACCCACAACCAAGGGTTAACGTATAACTCCCCACACTTTATCACATGAACCCCTTCGCAATTGCCTGGAGGAAGCTCCAACTATACACAGTGAGAGTCCAGAGTACAAGCAGTTCTATAGGAGGGTGTAATCTGTAGTTGAACCAGCAGATGGCGCTAGTATAAGGCAGTACAATGATCACAGGCTGTTAAGCTGAAATACTTGCAGTTGAGACGAGCAGTGCAGTCCTTGCCAGACGGGAGAGAGGTAAGCTGTGCTGACGGGCTGGGTACTCACTCCTGTGAGGTTTCACGGGTTCCAG